GCGAACTGGCAAATTGGTGCACAACTTTATCATATACATTCAGCGACACCGATAAAACTGGTAGGAGGTAATACATTTGGGGCGAAAGTATTCAAAAATCAGTTTTTGGATGTTGCAATGGCAATGGTGGGCCAGGATTGTTTTCCAATTAGTGACGGCACGACCTACCTGTGAAGTATGAACAAAACCGGCCGAGCGGAAACAATCACAGAGGAGTTAAAAGCCGTTGCTGGTGAAAAGTTACCCCAACTTTAAGGTCAAATTTCTCGGTAATGAAAACAGATATCAAAAATTCAAATGGTAACTTTGTGCCCACACTCAAGCTGAGTAGAATGAGCTATGTCTGAAGTGTTTTATCCCAAATTTGTAGGAGGAGGAGATACATTTGGCGCGAAGCTATCCAAAAATCAGTTTTTTGGCTGTTGCTATGGCAACGGTGGGCCAAAATTTTTTGCAGATTTTTCCAGATAACTAGGGTGAAGGTGTGACCTACCTGCCAAGTTTGAACGAAATCGGCCAAGCCAAAAAAATCACAGAAGAAATCATACGTGAAAACACTGGAAATGTACACACACAAACACACACACAAAACGACAAAAGTGATTATAAGGGCAATCCTAGCGGAGCGGATCGCCAATAATCAAATATATTGTTACTATTATTGACTACCATCTTTAAAGTGTGGATGAGATTGCTTTCATAGCATTTATCTTCTACAACAGAGCCATATCAGCTGATTGGCTAACACAGTATGCATTTCATCTTTGCAGCTATAGACTTGGATTGCAGGAAGATATGGAAGAATTAAGAAAAGAAAAGGAAGAAGAAGCAAGAAAACTTGCCAGGAAAAAGAAAGCCATGAAATCCAAAAAATAAATGACATTGCCAACAAAATTTTCTTAATCCATTTCTTTTATTATATTTTGATGCCAGTTATTTTTAAGAAGCGCTATATTTCATTTGATCCTTTTTATGTAATTTCATGTTTGGTGCCAACCCGGTGCTACTTAGTATTAAATCTTATTTATTCATAGATTGTGAATATATCAAGAATTCATGATAGCAGTAATATTTTACGTAACTTTCACTAACAAAGCACATGCACTCGCCCAAACAAGCTGATATTTAACAATTTTATTTGCTTACATTCCCTGCTAACTTACTCAGTTACTTGCTTCCTAATGAGAAAACTCCTTATTTATTTTAGTCTTGAATTGATACCAGGATGAAGTAAAAAAACAGAAAATGTTATGTTTCCATGTCACATTACATGTATTTGTTCCCATCCATACCCTTAAATGATAGTTTGACACACCAACTACAGTATGTGTGTTTTAAAATCTGTTAGTGATACTGTCCCTTGTCTGATTGTAATGTCCTAATCATAGTTGAATTTGTA